CACTACAAGATATGGCTGCCAACCGATGTCAGTGGCGTTCTTGTTGTCAGTTTCTATCCAGATTTCCTGAGTGAATGTTTGGAGGTGTAGGCACCTTGGAATGATTGTGTTAAGCTAGCACTAAGTCCCTCCCCCGTCCATATTTATTCTTTTCTTTACAATAAGGCTTTCAAATAAGTCATGGTTGTACGGCAGTGAAGCATCGGTGTTGAACACTGATGTCATGCTATCGATGATCAGGATGATGACGATGACATGCCCTGTTAGAACAAGGTTTGGCCAACAGGTTCTTCACCGTTGACCGACCAAGTAAACGGCGGGGTCATGGGAAAATATTTTCAAGCCCAGGGCGCACATGTCCAACAGGCAAATTTTTTTCATTCCGGGTAGTGACTGCGTAGAATAGCCTTCCTTCGACGGCTGTCCACGCTCCTTCTAGAACCCATTTCAAATCACTATCAAGAACGGCGTCCATTGGCACCATAATGCTCTCAGCTGCAAAAAGCTTTTCTGGTCAAATAAAACGTTTTCTGCCAAGGTGTTGCAGTTCATTGTGTTCGTGCTCACGCCAAAAATCATCCTAATCTACGTTCATATTTTTGCAGCCCATTAAATCAAATTGTCCATGGATGCAATCAGATCCCTAGGCTGAATAAGTCGGGTCATCATCATTGCTGGGACCTCGGGATACCTATAAGGAACGCAAAAGCTTGGACTCGTTCTCGCAACTCAATTGTCTGTCTCTTTTAGTCCACCAGGTACATGTCATAGCTTTCGAAAATTCAAATCCATTGAGCATGCTGCCATGCACTGATAACTTGGAGAGCAGTGCTACATCCTTTTTCGTTTGTGCTTTTCAAGTGAACAACGGCAAAAACAAAACCGACACGAGAAACCTGGGCAAAAGCCTTGATCCTGTACATCAATCCATGAATCTGTGGGTCCCGTGAATGAGTTAAGGCCGCGCCAAGGTCATCGTTATGACAACCGAAACCAGGTGTTTTTCAATACCCCATCATGGTTGGTTCAAGTAAAAAAGCTGAAAAAGGTATTCCTGATGTTTTACCACTGTCCAATGATGCAAACAAGAGGGCCATATAATTGGACTGATATAATAGTGACCAACCCCTAGACAGTTGTATCCGGTGACACGCTACGCTACTCCTCGTCTGATGATAACCTTGCTGTCTAAAATAGAAAAAGGACTGCAACTATTTGACTATTTCACACATATTGGTACCACAAGTGATATTGAGATTGTACGGATGCTACTTTGCATGACTATGGCACCCAGAACAATATGAGGTTCAGGAGGTACATCTCATTCTGCCGACATTAAATTTGCATAATGAACCACTTAACTGTCTATTTGCATAGATCACCACTGCCGATAAGACTAACAAAAAAGGTCATCCCAACTTCTGTTTCACCATTTTGCCGATTATGCATATGCATCGTGAAAAAGTGATGTGAGGCTAAACCCGCGGGGACCAGTAACCAGGATTCATTTTTCACGATACTCTATAGTGACTCTATAGAGTCACTCTAGTAACAGATTAGCACGCACCGCCCATAGTGTTATAGCAAACGTCTATCTGCTGTTACTAAAAGGTGCAATAACAAAACGAAATGGTTAGAGGACGTCCTATAATCATTTCTTGGCCGTAATAACAAGAAGGAAAGCAGTTGAACGACCGGAAATCAACTGTCTGGAAACCTGCTTTTACGGCTAGTTAACCGCGAAATCCGGTTGACAATTAGCGCAACCAAGCAACATAGAACTCAGTTAGAATACCGATGGTTGACCACGTAAAGCAAAGGACTTCTTGAACAATTATCCAACCTAGCGATAACCGGAAGAATGGGTATGCCGCGCTTACTTCGGGCCTCCCTAAAAGATAAAGACTCATTATCATGTTAAATAAGAGTTCAATAGCAGCAAAATGCGGCTAGATGTGTCAATGTCACCAACGGCTTACATTGAAATTTGATTAACTAGCAGTTGTTCACACGTTTAAAAACAGTTATGCTCCGGTTAATGGACACGAAATCGCGGTTGAATGTTAACTTTTCAATCACAGGGTAACGTCAAAACACGGTTGTTTGATGTTTATGTTGGTACAGATAAACAAAATCGAGTGAGCTTGGTATGCGGTCATACAGTTAATTACCGCTCTGTAATCACAAAACTATTTTTGACCGTGTGAGCTTCTTCGGTGGGGTTGCGAGGCGAAATATGACGGAAAATACTTTTGTGTCGCCTGCCCTTCTCACCAGCAGACCCCAAACAGTATGTTGTGGAAGCGAAGTTTATGCTTCCTGCACAATTTAGAATTAGACTGTGCACTTCGAAAAAAACTGGAAGCATTACATCAAGCTCAGGTTTACCCAAAGTATTTCCTATGTATGAACCAACTCTACATACTAGCAAGTGCACTACCACCGACTCATATTTGTGTCCAATATTTCATCGTCTGCCTACTCAGTGCTTGTAATCACACGCCCAGGGAGCATTCAAATCCACAGGCATTAGAGGCTGAGAGTGAATCTTACATGACCATGTCAATGGCGAAGCTAAAGAGAGAATTTGTGAGGTCAGTGTTTCCTGACATCGCTGTGCCTGGTTGGAGACACTACAAGATATGGCTGCCAACCGATGTCAGTGGCGTTCTTGTTGTCAGTTTCTATCCAGATTTCCTGAGTGAATTTTTGAAGGTGTAGGCACCTTAGAATGATTGTGTTAAGCTAGCACTAAGTCCCTCCCCCGTCCATATTTATTCTTTTCTTTACAATAAGGCTTTCAAATAAGTCATGGTTGTACGGCAGTGAAGCATCGGTGTTGAACACTGATGTCATGCTGTCGATGGTGATGATGATGTTGATGAATAATTGAACGAACTCAGGCGTGCCTGCAGTATATATTCACTTGTCAACGGCTTTTGCCATACTGCCCCTCAAGAATGTCCAATAATTTAAGACGCCTTTGTTGCTGTCGATGGTGATGATGATGTTGATGAATAATACAGTGAACTCAGGCGTGCCTGCAGTATATATTCACTTGTCAACGGCTTTTGCCATACTGCCCCTCAAGAATGTCCAATAATTTAAGGAAGACGCCTTTGTTCTATGGACACTGCTAGGGTTTCAGACGATCAACGTAGTCAACGGCGGTATTTAGACCAACAAAGGCCACCATTTTTTTTGCTGGAAGCGGTGTCAATACTAATATATGATCGATGCGTCCCCTTGCAGAATGGAACCCTAATTGGTTTTCATGGCTCCATCTCCCGACTGTTTGGAAAATGACACCAGAGGGTATTCTGGCTTCCGTAGCCTCCACAAAAAAGTTTAGACGGTGTTTCCATACTCTTTTTGGAGAAAAATGACTGCTTATAAGCGCCATTTTGTGGGCATTATCTCTTCATTCCATGTTGCTGCAGCAAGTTTTGTCAAATAACTAACCATGGCCTCTTTGCCTTTTTGAAGAAAACTGAATAAAAGCCCTTATATTCTGGTAATGTCTCAAGTTTTCAGAGGGGTGTTTCGTACGTTATCTCTCGGCCACTTCGGATTTGCTTTTCATTGGTCCTCATGCACTGCCACCCGAAAATGTTTTGTAGGAGGCAAGCTAGGCTGTATCTTGACGTGTCTGCTTCATCTTTTTTGTCGGCGTTACTCGGCTGCCTCTTCCACCTGTCATTTTAGTGACGCTCAGTCTTCTTCAGTCGGATCACCATATTAAGTGGCACGGGGCTTAACTCTTTTTGGTGACAGGAGACTTCTTTACCACCGGCGCTTTACTTGTCCACCAGCGTCCTCTCTCTTTCTGTGGACCATTCACTAGTTGGATTTGGGCGCCTCATCGTTGCATGCTGGTGGAGATTCACTGGTATTTTCGAGGACCGGTGACCTTGACAATATCCCACAATCATTTGATCGTACGAATTGATTTGAATAGACAACAGTAAATGCAACTGGTATAGCTTTATTCTGATTTATCCGTGCTAATACAAGTCCTCTTTCTTAGTACTGTGTTGGTCCATTGCACAGAGCAATTAAACTGGCTCAGAATAACATCACTGACTATGACTAACTTTTTGCATCTTAACTACTTGTATGAGTCAGCTGCCAGGGATTGTTAGCTGTCAGAAGTCTCTCAGTATATATCTGAATGCAGTACACGACCTATGATGAACTATTTTGGACCGACATCGTGCATAACTAATTTTGTTGATATAATCTAAATGAAATTCATTGCCCAAATAAGGAAGCTGAACGTTGAAACAAATCTATTTCAGTGTGGATTAAAGTTAAAGAATTCTGCAGACACTATACCGCAGATGCCGATTAGAAGCTCATTTATAGTAGCTTATGTCACCATATCTCATAGGGATTCTGCATGTGGCCACTGAACAGGAAAGCCTAGGCTCCACTCAAATGCACCACTACGATAAACAAAAGCAAGCCATTGCTCAGCTGGTTTGTTTTTTGTGGACAGAATATTGTGTAGCTGCGTCAAAATTGAATTATATCTCGACTTTTTGAGTGCTTTCTCCCGCTTATTGCCTTATTTGGGTTTTTAAGGAGGGATGAATCATAATGCAACTAAAAGCATGTCACTTCGAATGTGAAAACCCAGCCCTTCTATAATAAAGTCACAGCCTAGGCAGAATCCAGTACAGTTTACATCTTTGAGTTCAAGTACCGCGCACCCGGCTAGTCTCTAAAATAGTTCCGGCCAAAGATTCTATAGTTTATCTCGAAAGTAAATACATACGTAATATCCTACAGGTGATCAGTAAAGTGTAGCAACGAGCTGGAGCATCAACTTGAAAAGCCAGAAAGAAAAAGATCGTCTCATAGCCCAATGTACGTAGTAACTTTTGGTAGTGCAACACGTGATATGGCCCATTCAAACGACAAATTCTATCACAACCGTTTTCTATGGAATAGTATAAAGTGAATTGCTTTGTTCTGGCGGATTTTTACGGCTGAAGCGATCGGCAGTTAAAGTTTTATTTACTGAGTTGGTAGACGGTGTATAAATCAGTCTGGGCAGCGACAGCACTTTCTGGATTTTATGTGGCTTACATGCATTCAAATCGCCCATAAAAGTCTGGCCGTCAACCTGTAGTAATCTCAGCAATCCAATAATATATCTGCTCCAAGGTGGTGGCCTCAACAGTATACTCTGTGTTTACATCACCCTATTAGGTACAAACGAGTATTCTTGAGTAATTTTGTCTGTTTTTATACATAAATATGTTGATTTCTTTTAAAACCTACGCAAAGTCCGTAGAGAAAAATCGCTATATTCAATGCTCACGCTGAATTCCTCAGCCTGTTGGGAAGTTTGTGTGCAGGAACCAGAATGTGCGGACATCTGCTCATCCTCTAAGATCTGTTTGTGCTCAGTGTGCCGAACTGTCGCCTGCTTATTACATTTTTCTATTATCTCTGCTTACGGGTTAGCAGCTCGCCAAGTTACGACTGTCGCCGCTGCATTGGGCTGTTCTGACAACAACCACACTCCAACTAGCTGGTAATGCTTCTATTTGTAAGAACAAGATAAATAAATTTTCCAGCACAAATGGAAGAGCTAATGCTCAGTGCTTCAAAGAATACGGATGAATGTCGTCCGGTTCTGCGTTTCATGTGGACTTCAGAAGATTTCATTATCTCGCGCCCTTTACAAATAGACGCTTCCGGTGTCCTATATTCTCCCACTATAGCGGCTGGAACCAATGTTCATATGTTACACGGTTTAAGGCTGGTAGATTAATTGTTGTTTAAATGAACGCTGATATAAAACTTAGGATCTAAAGGTCCAGTCATTACTCTTGCACTGCCTTTATTTTCTTCAGCCCCGCCATTGTAGTTTTCTGGTTGGTTTGATTCAAACGACGATTCCCGTAGCCGAGAAATAGGCTTCGTATTTTGAGTATGTGAATGATCAATCGAATCTTAAACTGGATGTATTCAACCTTTCTGTGAGCACTCAGTATGCTTCCCCGCCGTTNTGTCGTCCGGTTCTGCGTTTCATATGGA